GGAGTCTTTCCTCTCGGACCATTGCTGGACTCGTTTTAGGATAAATTTGCAACCAGAGATGGGGTCTACTCTTAGGAACGCCCGAAGGGCAAATTGGGATGGGTACTCAGCGGCCCTGGAATCTGACATGACTGGGCCGGTACATGAACTGATAAGAAGAGGTAAGTCAATTAACGATGCGGTTGAGTGTCTGAGTGCGGCTTTAAGGGGGGTCTTCGAAGCCAATTGCCCAATTAGCCGCCCTGCAAAGGGTGGTAGACCACCATGGTGGTGTAACGAAATTAGTGAATCCAGGAGGAAAGTAACGAGGCTACATAATTTGGCGAAGCGGGAAGAATATAAGAAGGAACTGAGGGCTTTTAAGTACACAATAAGGAAGGCCAAACAGAGGTCTTGGAGGAGCTATTGCACGTCATTGGAAAATACTAATGAAGTTGCAAGATTAAGGAAACTACTATCGGGTGAGTCCCTGGTACCTGATTTTGTTAAAAGAGGTGATGGTACTTGGGCTGGCTCTAGTATAAAAACGTTGGGGGAGCTGATGGAGGTTCACTTTCCGGGATCGATTCCTGAGGGAAATGGAAGAGGAAAAGCCAAGGGCGTTCCGAGGAGAGGAACGGAGACTGTACCAGCTTTAGGTAAAGAAATTTTTACGGGGGAGAGGATACAGTGGGCCATTAGGTCTTTTGGCCCCTACAAGTCTTCGGGAACGGAAGGGGTGTTGCCTATTATGCTGCGGAGGCCACCGAAAGTGATTATTGATTGGTTGGTGGTAATTTTTCGTAGCTGCCTGTATATGGGGTATGTCTCTAGAGAATGGAGAGACGTAAGGACGGTTTTCATGCCGAAGCCTGTTAGGAGTGGTCATGTCAGCGCGAAGGATCTCCGGCCAATCAGCTTGTCGTCTTTTGTGCTGAGGACCATGGAGAGGTTAGTGGAAAAATTTATAAGGAATGAGGAAAGGAAGTCGGGTCTGTCAAATGACTAGCATGCCTACAGAAGAGGGAGATCTGTGGAGACGGCACTGCACGCTGTGGTCTTGCAGGTGTAGGTGTCTCTGTAGTACAAGAAGTATACATTCTTGAATGTTGAGGGTGCTTTCAATAATGTAAAGGTTAAGACTATCGTGGGGGTTCTCGAAATTTTAGGAGTAGAGGAGGGCATAATCAGATGGATAGAGCAAATGCTTACTACTAGAGTGGTTGTGGCCGAGTGGGGCCCAAGTAGCATGAGGATGCGGTCGGTGAGAGGCACTCCTCAGGGGGAGTCCTATCGTCATATCTGTGGGTCCTGCTTATGGAGGGTTATCTTACGCTTATGAGGGATAGTGGATGTAGAGTTACTGCCTATGCGGATGATGTGGCAATCCTGGTCTCGGGTAAATACCCGGAAGTACTAAGTGCAATAATGCAGGGGGGTCTTGATAGACTGGATGGTTAGGCGCGGGGATGCGGTCTTTCTGTGAACCCCGTAAAAACGGAGCTGGTGTTGTTCACGAGGATAAGGAAGGTGCCCAGGTTTGCCCTGCCTAGGATGGCGGGAGTCGAACTGGGTTTGGTGGGTTGTGCACGATACTGGGCGTTGTGCACGATACTGGGGTGGTCTACTGGTTGTATGAGTGTGTGGATAGGCCTATTCTGACGTATGGGGCATTGGGCTGGTGGTCACCGGTACTTCGAGATAGGGAAAGGAGGAAGTTGGAAAGGGTGCAGCGTATGGCGTGTATTGGGGTGACGGGTGCATTGCGTACTACACCCACTTTGGGTTTGGGGGTTATTTTCGACCTAGATCCGCTGGGTGAGCAGGTAAAAGCGGCGGCTGCGAGGAGTGCCTTGAGGTTACAAGCGATGGGCATACTTAAAAACGGGGAATACACACACAGTAGAATTCTGGGGGAATATGGAATGCAGCCTATGGACATTAGGCCTGATTTTATAGTGCCATACACCGACTGGAGGGTTGGTTATGGGGTTGTGGTTCCACAAAGGGAGGATTGGAGTGGTGGGGGGCATATGCACGCATGAGGCGTTATCCATCTACACAGATGGTTCTAAGACCATAGATGGTACGGGCGCTAGGGTCTTCTCTGAGGAATTGGGGTTAGAACTATCGATTGGCCTGCCTGAAGGATGTGGGGTCTTCCAGGCAGAGATCTTGGCGGTGCTCAGGGCGACGGAATTGGCTGCAACAAAACCGGTGAGGGGATACGTGCTGGCAATTTTTGTGGATAGCAGGGCGGCGATTAGGGCCCTCGCGTCCTGTTCGGTTGGGTCGGCTTTGGTGGGTCGATGCAGGGGGGCACTTTGGGCACTTTGTACTATGCACAGGGTGACTGTGTGCTGGGTTCTCGGTCATAGCGGGATACGAGGTAATGAGATGGCGGATCGTCTTGCGAGGGTTGGGGCTGGCGGGGGTGCTGACGTGGTAGACGCGTCTTCATAGATGGTGAGTGTAGGAGTAGAAGCGGGGTCTTATGGGCGGAGGCTCACACGCGTAGGGTGACCAAGACAATGTGGCCTATCAGGGACGAAAGGAGGACGAGGATGCTGTTGAGATATAATAAGGCTGATCTCAGCACACTGGTTGGGGTCCTGACGGGGCATTGCCTTCTGGGGAAAATGGCCAGCAGGCTTGGGATTGCTATGACGGATGTATGTCGTGGGTGTCGGAATGTGGCGGAGGTGGAGGATGTAGAGCATGTCCTCTGTGCCTGTCGGTTTCTGAGGTGGAAGAGAAGGCGTGTCTTGGGGGCTTATTTTTACGATAACCTGGGGGACCTTTCCGAGATGTCTCTTGCGCGGCTTTTGGTCTTCGCCAGGGCGGTTGGTTGGTTTGGATAGGGGGGTCTTGTGTCGAGCTGCGTGGGGGTTGTTGGGTGTTTTATGAGGGTTGCCAGTGGGCCTTTTTCTGTTGGCCTAGAGTATGGGCCTAGAGTATGCGCGGGTGTACCGGTGGAGCCCCCCCTCTTACTACTAGTACTACTAAGGCGAAAACATAAATGTTATGATAACAAAATGTATATTTAAGTGGCATGCAAGTGTATTTCAACTGAATACCAAAATAATGTGAATGTTTTTAATAATTTTCTGCTTGTCAAAAAAATTGTTCTTTTCTTAGAATTGCATATTAAAAAATAATTTTTATCATATACTTACTATTTTCTGCAAGTTTTTGTACAAAAATGTTTTTTTTTTTATTCATGAATTAAAGTATATTTGAAATTTAGGAACAAGAAAGAATGAAAAGTGTTAATGAAAAATTCTCAAAATTAAGAAAATTTAACAGTATAAAAAAGGAAGAGATTAGAAATATAAAAAAGATTTCCTGAACTTAACTAGATTTAAGATTCTGGAATTATGTCAAAAATTTTTACATATCTGAAAAATTAAAAAAAAAATTTATGTCAAAACATAAGAATCGTTACGTCAATCAAAGTTTTGGAATTATTAAAAAAAATTTATGGAAATTTTAGGTTTATTAAATATTTTTCAAAAAATATGTAATTGTTTATTATAGTTTTATGTAAGACAAATTGTAAATATTTTTTAGAACGTAATTTTTTAGTAGAGCCACAAAATTGAAACATGCGTTGCTGTAGCAAGTTGAACATTCAATTTGATATTTGAAATGTCAACACAAACTATTTCTAATAATTTTCAAGTGTGTAGGTAAATAAAGGATTTTCGAGTTATAAAACAAAATTTTTTTAATTCGATTCTGAAAAAGTTTAATCCAGTTTAAAAATAAATTTCTGTGTCAAATTTTAAAACTTTCTGCTTCATTATACTTAAAAAATTTAAAGTAAGCCGCAATTTATTTTTATTTAATTTTATGTGTAGTGTATAGGTGTAAATTGATTTTTGGTTCAATGTAAATTAGAACTTTAAAAAATTTTATAAAATTTTGGAATTTAAAATTTTTATTTGTGAATTTCGCAAGATCTACGAATGAAAATTAAAAATATTTCTTTAACATGTACTAAATATTTAAATGTATTGGTTTAAATTGTACTAAAAATTATAAAAAATTTTACGCATCAGTCACTTTTGTTGGTTTCATAAAAATAAAATGAAGAAATTCAATAGATTATCAAAGGTAAAATTATATTAAATATTTTGTGTTTAAATTTATAAGCCGATCAAAATGTCTTAAGTTATTTGGCTGATTGAATTTTTTCTCAACTGTAATTTTAAGTATCTAAGAATTATTTTTTATATTTATTTACTAACATCTGGGAGCAAGTCCTGACAGCAAGTATCTTTATCATTGGTTGCGGTTCAGTATGGAATAATTTTAGTTAAAAATTCTATTTTTGTAGCAATCTTGGGACAAAACTGTCCAATAGGGAAAATTAATAATTTAAAAATTAAATGGCAGGAAAATATTGAGAGATTTTTAAAACGGCGGGACACGATTTCAAGGTTTCGGATTTCTGCAAATCCCATCAAATCGGCAACACTAATATATTTTTGTACGATCAAATTTGTTAAATAATGGTGGAATAAAAATAAAGTTCGGGTTGCGTCTTCTTGCTGAATTTGTTAATCTGACCTTGCTATAACAACAATTTCAACGACTTTCAATCAATTTTTATAAGGATTATTCAGTTATTGTATAATATTATTTAAATGAAATTTTACAAGTGATGTTTACCTACAAATAAACAGGAAATAATTTTGAATTTATACGAAATTTGCAAAATTACATTTTCGGAATTTTTTGTGTGGGAATATTTGGTTGAGTTAGTTAGTGTTATTTTTTTTTTTTTACATTCGTTTCCATTTTTTTATTCTATTTTTTAAAAAAGGCAAAATTCTTAAGTTTTTGAAAAATCTTTGTTTTTTCATTTTCCTTAAATTTCATTTTTTAATATTTGCAATTTGGTGTTGTTGTTTTTCTATGTACTACAGCATATATGTATATAAAATAAAATATTTAAAAAAATATATTTAAAAAGGAGTACATATATTAAAAAAAAATTTTTATAAAAATCAAATTACCTCTTCATATATGAAAGTATCGATTTCTTCCAATGGTCTACCATACATATTTTCGGGAAATGGTTCAAATTTTTTTGGTAGAACATCACCATCTTCAACGGTGACTTTTTGACGTGGGTGAAATCCATATTCACGGACAAGTTGTATATGACGATTTTCATGTTTAATTTGTGATTTTTGGGTGTATTCCACAACTTGTTGTTTGGCAACTACTGCAAAAACAATGAGAAAGAAGAAGAAGAATAAAATAAATTGTATTAAAAGGAAAATATAAATACTTGTTAACAAAAATTAATAATTTGGTATAAGATAAGTTCATTGTTTTGAAAATTTAGAAATCAATAAGGTAACTGACTAAACTAATTTATCTAAGAATTTCTATGGTCAGAGGCTTTTGTTGAACCAACATCCGTTACCAGAGGCATTACATTCACACAGAGGATAGTTTTTTTTTTTGTAAACAAGATTTATTATAGAATTAACAGTATAGTTTTATCGCAAACTCTTCGCCGTTTGACGAACGGCGGAGCTCTCGATGGCAGCCGCGGTTGATCTGCTCAGCTTTGTGAAGGGATTTGAATATATTCAGCGGAAAGAAATGTGTCGTGGAGAAATGCCGATAGGCCTTTTATTGGTCTAGTGCTGGGTGAAAGCGTTGAGGGAACTTAACGAAACCTAAATAACGGCGATTCCGCAACAAGTATAATGTGTAATACATTTTTTGGTTGAACCAGTATTGGTTCGGATTATGGAGGAATGTATTAAGCATATTGAGATAAAAATTTTAAAGAAAAGTTAACTCCGAGCGATGGCACTTAGTTTTAGAATTAGAAGTTTTGAATGTGCTTCGTCTAAATCCGCCGTGGTCGCAGAGTTAAAATTACTGGCAACATTTTACTGTATAAAAGATTAATTAGAATTAAAGTTCAGTATATTTTAATGACTGGAAGAAAATCAGTTTTTTATCTAAATTCAAATCTTTCAGTTTTATTTTTTTTTTGTTTCATAATAATTATTTTCCGGTTTCTTAATTTTTTTTTGTATAATTTTCATTGTTGAAGGAAAATTTCCATTTTAATGCTTGCCATTCTTAATGCAATGAAAATTTTGGAAACAAAAATTACAGTTTTGTCCTTCTTTCGTTTTTAAGTTATATTAAAATTGTTTGCTTGTTTTGCCACCGAACTAATGATATTTTAAATTGATTTTTAGAAGGTTCTTGCAAAAAAAAAATAAAATTTTTAAATCGATAAATGAAACATTTTTGAATCACATACACAATTTATTTACACAAAGTTTGAATAACAATAAAAGGGAAAAGGCATTAAGGAAAATTGTTTTTAAAATCAAAGAGCATTGGAAGAGTTTAATTTTGTTGTGTAGGAAGTAGAGAATTCATTTTTTGAATTAAAAATGTTTTTGTTTTCTTTTATAACTCAAATTATAAGAATGGTTAAGGACTACATAGGTACATGAAATAATCTTGTCCATTATTATTTTGGTTATGTTAAGATAAAGAAAATTAAATTTTATAAAATATTTATAAAAACAAATAACTGAAAGAAAAATAAACATAATCTGAAATTATGTGTAAATATTTTTTAAATTTTAAAGATTGACCAAAAATTGTTATACGAAAGTAAAACAAAAGAGCATGCTATTAGCAAAAAATTCATAAGACCTTAAGGGTATTGTTGAGTATATTCTTCTGTTAGCTTTTGGATATAGGTTTTAAGGATTGTTTATGAATACTGTTCTTCAAATGTTAGGTAAATATTTGATCATGTAGATGTTAATTCATGCATGAGTGGGTACGCTTTTAAATTACAATTACATTGGATTTATAAGCATAATAATTTTATGTCCTACAACTGCCTAAAATTAGAATCTTAAAGCAACTACATTTCTCCCCAGAATGAGGACCTTTGTATCAGGTACGTGATATTTTTTTTTTTGATTAAAAATGAGAAGCCGAAAATGATACACGTTCTCGTTTAAGCACAGTAGTTTATTTTTGTTTCCGCGTTATTGCTTGTTACAGTAGAAATATAAGAGCTTGGCACGTAATTGTCAAAGTCGTCAAACTGTTAGTGGTCAGAGAAGTCTTTGAAAAGTTAGACCTTATTCTCTTAAGATTCACAAAAGTTTATTTTGAAATTTATCTTTCAGCATTTAAATTGTTAGGTTATAATTTTAATGTCAAATCCAATGGCAAAACTACTTTTATAGAAATTTACTATGTATTGCTGTGTAAAAGTTGTTGCGATATGTAAATAAAATTTATTCCTAACTCTTGTTTGATCGAAATTAGTTTTATTTTAAAATTTGTTTTTTACTATTAATGAATGTTTCATGAAAATCTATGTATATAAAAGGGATACTTTTTTGTTAAAGTAAATACATTTCGAGGTCATGGATTATGCTAACCTATATGTAAATTCAACATATTTTAAGTGTAATTAAAATTACATCACATAATTTCCCAAATGGCAACATTACGTTTCTCAAACGTTAAATACATGATTATAATTTTACATGTATGTATGCGTGTGAATTACTGCTGTCCTTTTCATATAACATATACGTTACTACATTTTGTATATATAAAGTTTATGTCATTTATTCAAACTCAAAGTACATTTATTTGATCGCTTATTTTCACCCGCAAATACTATTCACCTGACTATTTTGATGTCACGTTTTATGGAAACTTGTTATTTTTAAAATACTTAATTTTTTTATTATTTCAGAAAATTATGGAACGGAGGACATGCCGGCTTATTGTGAGAGATGGGGGTAAGTAAATGTGGCGCTTCAGTCGATTCAGATTACATTTTTGTTGGCCTGGAGTTGCTTGCTGCAATTTTTAAATTGGCATCGGCAATCAGAATAACGCTAATTGGACATGCGGGCAACGAGGTTGCCGATGGACTGACGCGAAATGGATCTGATTTTAACTCTAAACTGCTGCCGTCTTTCTGTGGCCTTTGCTGCTTGGAAATGCGATATTTACTGGCGTATCACAAAAGGGTTTCGCTATGCGCAAATGTTTCTTTCATTCAGGCTCACACATTTTTTGCAACTGCTCGCTACTGGCTGTTCCATGTCGTAATTGTTTTACATGGGGCTTCCTGAGTGTTTGAGAATTGCTGTTTAATTCCCTTGGGGGTATCTCCAATATTATATGCGGGAGCGTGGAAACATTACAATAAGTGGCAAGTAAGGTGACTAAGATTACTTGTTTCAAACGTGGAATGGAAAATGTGAGGTATTGTATATAAAAATTGATCAAAAAAAAATTAGTGTTAGTAAAAGTGAATGATTTCGAAACTGATTTAGAAAAAATTCCAAAACGAGATGAATAACAAGTCTGGACAAATGAGTGTGTGTGTGTTATAAAATATAACAAACATTGAAATTTTTTCATCAAGGATAAAGATTTTCATTAGTGATGAGGAAATGTTTTTTTTTTCTGATTTTCAATTTTTGTACACTTTCTCTTGTGTATTTTCAGTATTTTATCTTGCACTTCCAGTCATTTGAATCTCATAATACTCAAAATTAAGAAAAAATAAAAAAAAAGGAAAAAATTAAAAAAAATGTAGGAAAATATTGTATAGAAAAATCATTCATGCTTCTGTACTTAATAGATTAGTTTCAAGGTTGCCAGTATTTATGAAAGCCTCAACAAATTAAACTAAACTTATAACTTCTGTATTTCTGGTTGTATTTGTGGTTACACAATGTACATACGAACTCTTTCCTGTCAACTCATTCGCAATAATGCAGTGTAGATTTCAGAGTTGTAGTGCAGAGTGTTGCCATGTGTTATTGCGATTATTTTGAGTGTTTCATATCCATAATGTATTTGAGCAGAACGCCAAAATTTCTGCAATTTTTTACAAGTACAATTTGTAAATACCCAATATGGTATCTTGATTGATAATTTCAAAAATATATAGCTTTTTGTTTCAATCATGTTTTAAATTTTAGATAATTTAAATTTTTAATGAATTTAACATTACTAATAATGGGATTAAAAGTAAACTAAATATAAAGATTCACTACAATCGTTTTTGCAATTGAACAAAACCCATGTAATTTAGGTTTGAGGGTAAGGCCCAGATAATTGATTAAAGTGCTAATGAAAAGAGGTATGATGAAAATTAAAGCTACTTTTTCATAAATCTTGTGTACGTTTGAATCAAACAAGAATGTACAAAATGTTCCATTATTTTCTTTGTTTATGTACTATAGCTGTTCTATCCTTGAATAGACCACAATTACTCCATTACTCCATTTTTTCGTAATTACCCTTCAATGTGTATTTATGATCAAATTCAATTATTTTTTCTTACAAAATTTTCTGAATTCTTTGGAAATTATTGTATTCTAAACGAAGCAATACCATGGCGATTTTTTAATATCTGACAATACAATAAATGAAAGCGGAATAGCTTTCAATTAAGTCATCGTGAATGAAGATAAAGAAAAGAGGAATATTTTTGATTTGGTTTCGAAATATTTCAAGTAAGATTAATGGTCATTTTCATAAATTTTTCTTTTTTGTCTTATTCTTCTTTAATTTTTTTCGAAAACATTGTTAAATTAAGTGTAAAATGAAAAGATTTCTATGTTTTGCACATGTAGTTGAAAGGTTTCTATGACATGAACATATCATTTTAAAAATTTCTCAATTTGTTAAACAAAAGACAAGAAGGAGCAATCAGTTTCAGAGGCAAGAGTGTTAATCATTAATCTTAAGTGTTCAAAAATAATTTCACTTGAAACATTATTATTAATTTTTTTATTTTTTGTTTATATCTATTCCGAAGTTATAAATAAGATTGTGAATGTGTCTAAAAGTAAAATTAAATTCTATGTTCAGATATTTTAGTTTTAAAGATATTAATAGAATTTTTTCATGGTTTCCGAATTCTGATTGTTTAAATACAAACACCTTTGGATGCCACACCAAATACGATTCGATTTCAAGACATACTTTAAAATTTAATAATATAAATATGTTTATAAAAATTAGTTTTTGAATGTTTTATTATGGAATTTATTGTACTAGATTCTATTACTGGCAAACACGCCTTCTGCAGTGGTGCTGCAACGGCTTAGAAAACGTTCAGATAACATAATCTGAAAATATTAAAAATCAGTACAAGACCTGACTATTGTTATGTAAAATTATGAAAAATATAAA